GAAGTTGGCTGCACCTGCCGCGATGCGCGTCTTATATATAGGGTGGTTACGAAAATAAGGAAACAGAAAAAAAACAGGATTGCGAACAAATACATTGATAATGATTTACAAGATGTACGAGTGGCCTAATGTGGAATTCGGGTGCGTATTATTTTCTGGCAGCGCGACATATAAAATGGGACAGCTAATACGATTGGGAAGAGAAGGTTCGCGCTTGTTTCTTGGACGCCCCAAGTTTGTCGCAAATAATGTTTTGTGCGTGGAAGCGCATCTTCCAACTTTGTGAACTCGGTTTAAAATACTTACATTTCAAAATTTCGTAAAAAAATATACAATTAGCCACTGAGACAAGCTTCTTACGTTTTTAATTCGAGAGCCAAGCTCATTCTTCAGAACGCAATGGTCAGGATTACACTCCCCTCAGGTCAGGTTCGTTCAAGCGCTGCTAGCTGGAAGCTCTGAATGTAAATACCAATCAGATTACCTCAACAGGTAAGCTCAATTCGAAAGTTCACGTAGATTTTGATGATAATTTCCTTTCTAATGCAAGACAGATGTTCGTTCGATATTTAAATAATCAGTTGCAAGATTACTTGACTCATCTGTCCATAATCAACGTTATTGCGACGTATGCATACGTATATTAAACGGAAGGGCTGGAGTAGGCATCTTCTGTCCTTCTCTCGACCGGTATTTTTTTTTTCAGTTGGATTACCGGATTATGCTCCTATATTTGTTGCTGAATTATTTATTATAGTTCGAGCACTTCGTAAGCTTCCTGCTAGCGAATCAGGAGCAGTCACACTTACCGATTCTCTCTCAGTATGCACTGCACTTTCTGCAGCAAAAATTTAACACTCATGAGTATATTAAATAGTTTAATAATGCTTTGGGTACCTGGTCACTGCGGCATTTAACTGGATGAGATGGCAGACTCGTTAGCGAAAGCATCTTTAAGCAGACCCCCCTCTTCCTTCTTATACCTGGTTTGGCTTACGTAAAATCACCAAGATTTAGAAATGCTTGTTTGCACAAGGAAATAGACAAATATGGCATTGGATAAAGCCAGGAACTTTATACATCTAAGATTTTGCTGGAATAAACAGTGGCGTGTATCTCGGCAGTTAAAAATTACCAGATTACGTTGTAGAATCACGCATCTGAATTATTGCGTACATAAGGCTGGCCTAACAGCGTCTACGTTATGCCTCTTTTGCAAGGAAATAGAAACAATAGACCATTTATTTTTATTCTGCCATCAGTATTTTTATTAAAGGACAAAAATATATTGCCGATCCAATTGAAAAGCTAGTTTTAAAAGTTAAAGTTGCAGTAATTTTATCCTTTTGAGGGATTAAATTAGGTTATAGCCACAGGGAGGTTTGCTCTGCTGTGTTGGCGTACATAATGGAAACAAAAGATCACTTTGTTAGTATAATATTATGTTCGGCTCTGATCCTATCGGATTGCTCGCGCAGCATTTTCATTCATTATTTATGGTCTCTTTACACTTTGTTTTTTTTTTAAAGATATCCTTTACTTTATTTTTTTTACAAGATGTCTTGCAAGGCTGCAGGTCACGGTAAAGCTGGTTTGCTACTGGTGGACGTAGTAACGTTATAGCAGGGAACGTCGCTTTTGACGCGAGTCGCTGTATACGCTATCTTCAGGCAGCTTACCGTAAGGAATCCATACAGTTACTCCACGTTTAACGTCAAGTGCGCGCCACCGTGCGACGATGCGCGACAAACGCCGACGCGAGGGCCTGCGTATAGCGTTTGTCGCGTTTGGGCAAGGGTTAATGGTATTGTGAGGAACCGGTTTATTCGGCCAGGCTCGAGCCAAATCACGCGGATGATGATATTTTTAGATGTAGAAGATGTACAGGTGATGATGATTACAAAGAAAATAAAGAGTCATTCGCTTGTCGCGCTCACACTAATTCCCCCGCGCGGTGAAAGCGGCCGCCTGGTCGCTTGACAGTATTATGAAATGCGTCGCGCATAAGGCTTTAAACGAGATACGTGCACTATCTCTGTTCCTCGGCAACGATGATCAGGACTAGCGCTAAGAGGATAAACGCGGTAATTGACAGGAGATGTCTGTTCGACCACCGTGTACGGCCCAATGAAGTGACAGAGGAATTTGTCGCATAGGCCGGGGACGCGTAGTGGAGTCCATAGAAGAACTTCGTCACCAGGGGAAAAACTCACAACACGGCGAGACGAGTCGCAGCGAGATTTCCGAGTGTCTTGAGAGAGGCCGGTGTTAACACGGGCCTGGTGACGGCAGTGTGCGAGACGAGATAGGAATTCTTCAGAGAAAGGAGCCGTCGAGGGTGTAGGGGCCGAAAGGAAAGAGACATCCAGAGCGAAACTCGGCGAGCGACCATGGACGAGAAAAAATGGAGAAAAGCCGGTAGTGCGTTGAGCAGCCGTATTATAGGCGAATGTCACGAAGGGTAGAATTGCATCCCAGTTCGTGTGGTTGGGGTGAATGTACATGGCGATCATGTCCGATAGGGTCCGATGAAACCGTTCAGTCAATCCGTTGGTCTGCGGGTGGTAGCTAGAAGTGGTCTTGTGAACAGTGTTCGAGGCACGCAAAACTTGCTCGAGAATGGAAGATAGGAAGACTTTGCCACGATCACTGAGGAGAATGCGTGGAGCTCTTTGACGCAAAAAGATGTGGCGAAGAAAGAAATCGGCGATCTCAGTGGCAGTCCCACATGGTATAGAAGCTGTTACTGCGTAGCGGGTAAGGTGGCCGACTGCCGTGACAATTCAGCGATTCCCATTGGATGATATAGGAAGAGGGCCATACAAATCGATTCCAACGACTTCAAAAGGTGAGGCGGGACAAGGAAGAGGTTGCATTAAGCCAGCCGGAGCAGTTGTCGGTCGTTTTCGCCGTTGGCAATGGACACAGGAGGCGACGTACTTAGCGACGGCTGAAGAGAGGCCAGGCCAAAAACAACGACTTCGTATTTTGTCGTAAGTCTTGTGGTAGCCTAGATGAGCAGCGGTTGGATCATCATGAAAAGCTTCCAGAACTTCACGTTGCAGAGAACGAGGGATGACGGGTACCCACTTGTTGCCATCGATGTGGTAAATGTAGCGACATAAAGCATCACCGACAAGCTTAAATTGTTTAAGTTGTCGACGGAGTCTGGCGTTTGGAAGAGTAGTAGAGCCGGTCAAGTGGTCAACAATGGTGCGGCAGTATGGGTCGACACGTTGTTGTGAAACAAGGACGGATAGGGTGGCAGGTGATGAACTTAGCGCTGCGATTAGAGAGGTGCTGTCGTTTTGTAGTATCGATGGTGAATTGCTTCCGCTGGGCAAAGGACAGTGCGATAGAGCATCAGCATCTTGATGCTTCTTCCCAGATCTGTAGGCGACATCGAAATCATACTCCTGCAAGCGAAGCGCCCAGCGACCAAGGCGACCCGATAAGTTTTTCAGCGATGAAAGCCAGCATAGGGCGTTATGGTCGGTCACGACGGTAAAATGACGGCCGTGAAGATATGGTCAGAATCTTTGCACTGCCCAAACAACAGCAAGGCACTCCTGCTCGGTGATAGTGTAGTTCTTTTCTGGAGCGGTAAGAGCATGACTTGCGTAAGCAACGACGCGTTCGCGTGAGTTTTTGTCACGCTGCAAGAGTACCGCACCAAGACCATGACTACTTGCGTCGGTGTGAAGGATGGTGGGTGCGGTGGAATCGAAGTGGCACAGTACCGGATCCGACGTAAGGGCTTGCTTCAATGCCGTAAAAGCGCTTTCGCAGTCTTCGGACCAAATGAAGGGGACGTTCTTTGCGAGGAGTTGATGGAGCGGAGACGCAAGTTCCGCGAACCTACGTATGAAGCGCCGGAAGTAAGAAGATAACCCAAGAAAGCTGCGCAGGTCCTTTTGACGTGGTGGACGAGGAAAATCGAGGACAGCGGCAAGCTTCTCGGGGTCGGGCCGAATTCCTTCTTTGCTGACAAGGTGGCCGAGAACCTTGATTGTCTTGCTAGCAAAGGTACATTTCTTGGTGTTAAGCTGTAGACCGGCTTTACCCAGCACCTCCGCCACTTGTGAGGAACCGGTTTATTCGGCCAGGCTCGAGCCAAATCACGCGGATGATGATATTTTTAGATGAAGAAGATGTACAGGTGATGATGATTACAAAGAGAATAAAGAGTCATTCGCTTGTCGCGCTCACAGTATGTATAGTGGAAAAGGCTCGCCATCACCGGCTGTGCGAAAAGAGCCCACTGTTATCTGCGTTGGTTAACGTGTTCTCACATTAGGGGGGTCATTGGGGTCATTGGTGGTTTGTGTTTGTTATTACTCATGCGCTGTTGCGCTTGACGGACAGAAAAACGCAGGGACTCGCTCTCCGGTTGTCTCTGTGCTCTCGTCTACGTCTGTTACGCGCAAGAGTTTACGAGTACCTGACTGACTGTTAAATATAGCTAATTAACTTAATATTAACCTAATGCTAACTATAATTATCATAATTACTTAACGTTGAGTATGCTTAATTAGATCTAGATCGTATAGGGATAATTTTGCTATTGCGTCAGGGAGCAAAGGCGTTCACTTGTGTTTGCGGCCTAGCGTAATTACTACTAACAAATTACAGATCAATAGATATTTACTTGACCCCCCACCAAACCGAACCAATTGACTTAGTCTAGTTAAGCTCCCTACCTTTCTCATATTTTTTTCTTCTCTCTCCCTCGGGAACCCGATAGGGGTTCCCACGAAAGGTCCTCAGGATCACATAAAGTTCATTTTCTCTCCGTCTGTCCGTCTGTCTGTCCGTCCGTCTGTCCGTCCGTCCATCTGTCCGTCTGTCTGTTCGTCTGTCTGTTCGTCTGTCTGTCTGTCCGTCCGTGCGTCCGTCCGTCTGTCTGTCTGTCTGTCTGTCTGTCTGTCTGTCTGTCTGTCCCCCAGTGTCACGTTCTTTAACGCAGGAAAACTACTCAACGCATTCGCAGGTTCGGAGCCATGGGAACCGCCGACGACGCCCCGCAGGGTCCGGTGATCATCCGGCAGACGGTGTTTGTGTTCCCGAGAGAGCAGTTCGACCCGAACTACGTGCGCCTGGTGACCCGGGGCCGAGACCCGGCCACCGCGGTTGCCTGTCTGCTGGGATTCTTCAAGCTCGTCTGCGAGGACGGATACAAAGGGGTGAGCCAGCGCGTCACGCACGCCCCGCGTCTAGAGAGGCCCCGAAGACTCTTTCAGCGGGGCCAATAAACGCTGACGGTCGGCAGTGAAGGGCCATAGTTTCGTACAAAAGGAAAGATCTCTGGCCCTACAGCGTGTGTGCATAGCCTCCGAGAGGCCATGCACAGACGCTGTAGACGAGTGGCGCTTCGGACAGCACGAGAACGATGGGTAGCAGATGGACGTGTCTTACGTTTTGTTCTTTATGCTCCCTTAGAGCTCCGTTGGTCCTGAATCCGTTTTGTCGCGAGAAGGATCAGCAAGTGTGCAAGACCTTCACGTCAACGCTTTAATAACCTTTTACGCTTACCAATTCAAGTCCGTTTTCGAAGTTCACAATGGTCTGCTCTTTTATCCAGAAGCCCTGCCAATACGAGGCCGCGCTGTAGTGTCACGGCTGCACCAGCGCCTGCTGGACCAGTGCTGCACGCTCACGGCACCGCCACGACACTATACTCAGAACTAGTGTGGGCAGTGCAAGCCAAATCGAATAGACCTCCTATTTTATACAATGGAAGTGCGCCCGCTATACAGTGTTGAATGTCGAACACCAATGTATACGTGGGCAGCTTGTTCAACCTTCTGGTGTTCTCTACGCGCGCCGACATTGCACAGAACAGGGGCCTCCAGAATTTCGCCTCCATCGGTTAGCGAACGGTGCGGTTGGGGGTCGAACTCGTGCCCTTTGATGAGCTGCCGACCACCGCAAGCAATAATACGGATAGCGGTAATACGGATAGCGTAATATGGATAGCGTAGGATGGTAATACGGATAGCGTAATAAAATTTACAGTTCGACTCGAATGCAACAGCACACGCGTTGATTGACAGGCGCTTCGCGCCAGCTGCCTCGACGGCAACTGGCTGGACGAGGTGGACGTGGCCCGCGTGAGTGGCGCCCCCGTGCGCCGCCAGCTTCGCGCCCTGAGCGACGACTCCGAGCCCCGGGCCACCATGGACGACTTCTACGTGCTCCTGGGTGTGCTGCTACGCAACCTGGCGTGCGTGCCCAGCCACCCGCTGGGTCACTACTGGTTCCTGATGCGGGTCGTCGAGCTGGTCAAGCTCTTTCCGGGAGTCTCGGAGCCCCCTCCCGTGCCGCTGTACAGCCAGGCGCAGGCGGACGCCGTCTCCAACTTCGGCCAGCGATGGCCCCACACCAGGGCGGCCCTCTGCCGCGCCCTGCTCGGGAGCCAGTTCGAAGTGAGTGTTCTACTTCATTATGTATTGGGCTGTAGCATATGTTACCAGAGTATAACATCGGCTTGCACCAGGCTGCAGCGTGTGAGCGCACAGTAACGATGGCGTACTGCGGCTATCCTGTGAGCACCGACGTGTGGTTTTACATCGGAGTGATTGTATGCCGCTGTCCTCTGAAGGCCGTTTCGAAGAACGTTTTTCTCATCGTGTTGGACTTACCCAGACGTGAAATACTCCCGGATCATTTAGAAAATGTTACCTACACCGGGGAGGATTGTGCCAATACCATGCTCAAAGATCCTGTCGATATGCGCGCGTCGTGAGTGTTCTACTCGTGAGTCTGCATGATGGTAGCTCTGTTAAGTCTGTCCTTAACGGTGATGGCCCGTGTTGGCAAACCATGCTGAAAGGTCTGTTCAATGGATGCCCCTTTTGACGCCTATTCTATAGAGGGGACTATAGGCGATGCCTGCATCACGTGTGCCTGAGTTGCCTGAAGATGAAAGTAGCGTTGTTTGTCCACCTCTTATGACGGTGCAACGTGGACTGTACAGTGCAGCTTCGGTGAACGTGAGTGAAGAGCGATTCCGGCGGTTTGCGAAGCAGCTTATAGCGGAGCTCTATCCGGTGGTGTGGGGCGTGACAGCCTTTACTGCGCGTACGCAACAGCTAACCCAAGCACTGCCAGAACACGCTGACGTGCTAGCGCGTTCCAGCCTGTGTAAAGGCACGTTCACACCGAGCGCGGATCCGCAAAGCGGACGCGGATTATCCGCGAAAGCGGAAAAATCTGCGTCCGTTCGTCGGAATCGCTTCCAGTGGATCGATTTTCTTCGGGCGGAAGAAGTTGGCCGCTTTGGTCGCAGCCAATCAGTCTTCCCGAGACGCGCGCGCACTGTATCGCTTTGTGCCGCAAGATGGTGCACGCCCACCGTGGATTCTTGGATTGCGCCGTGCCCGCGGCGGAGGCAACGCGGTCGGTCGGAACAGCTGCGCGCTCGCTGCCTCATCGCTTCGAAAGTCTGCTTGCCTGCTCCGCGCTCAGAGTGAACGCGCCATAAGGTGCTGGGTAAGACCCTCTGGCCTGTCCTTCAGCTTTAGCCAGTCCCATTTACGCGCTCTCTGTAACCGTGTGATGACGTCGGGAAATGAGATTCCGCATGCGCGCGATGAACCGATTACGCGTTGTATCCTAGTCAGAAAGCGCTGGCAGGTGCGTTCGGGCCTGCGTAATGCCTAGTTCACACTGAAACATCCGCTTTCTACAGTGACCGAAATTCCCCTGCCGCCGAAACGCAGCGTCGTTCGCACTGGACGCGCCCCGCGCCGCCGAATATGCCATCTACTACGGGCCGAACGCGGAATGGATGCGCTGTCACCCGTTTGTTGTCGCGGCTCGCAAACGCTACTACGCTATCCGGTGGTGTATACTTCAACGATTCTCGTACGCAAGAAGCAAGAAAAGACAGTACTGTTACTTTGCTGGCAAGTGGCTGTGTTGTAATGCACGAAGAGCTGAAAAACCACCGACGCCAGCGGCGTTGGTGGGTTCGTTCTGCTCTGCAAGACCGCAACAAGCTCGGTTACGCCAACAGCAAGCTCGGTCACCTCTTTCACGAAATACGGAGGCGAAGTAGGCACAGAGTTGGTTAAACACCCGTTGGTTTCAACATTCAGTTACTTGCACTGCGGCATAACAAACGAGTAGGGCTTGGCCGCCATTTTTCAAAATTCCTTGACTAGCGCTCCTATTGGTCCGCGGTGACCGATTGGGCGGCAGACGCCGCAAAAACCGGTCCGAGAGCGACCGGCGCGGAGAGGGCCCTTTTGGCGAATCTCGCCGCCGCCGAACCGGATTCGGAGCACTTTCGGCGGCCGGAATGCTCAGTGTGAACACTGCCTTAGTGGCGAAGCTGTGGGCTCTGCCCCTTACACTGTCTCAGCATTCACGTGATGGCGTCGCGGAACGAGATGCTGTGAACGTGCGATGAACGCAAGGGGCTCGCACGCGTGGCGTGTTCGAACAAGGGTTCGGGACATGACGTAAGATATAAGTGCTTGCTGCAGGACGCGTTAACAGTAGGCAAGGTACCCGTGGTGAACAGAACAAAACTTTAAATCGACCCATGTGCTGTTCCGCATGCTACTCATGGTTCCTTTGAGAGATTCTGTAACATTTATTTTTGCTGCCCTTTACTGCAAACATTTGCGCAGGGCCCCATGCGGCAGCTGCAGGAGTACGTCACCGAGGGCTGGCGCTTCGCTGGCATGAAGCACGTCTACCTCATACTGAAGTTCCTCGGCAGCCACAACTCGTGGGCCCTGGACATCATCCCCGAGGTGCGCGCCAGGGGTGCCATACTGCAGGTACAGTAGACCGTCGTACGACAATCGAAATATCGAGGGCGTGTCCGGAAATTCGGACACCCGCCCTTCGGGATGACCAAGTCTTGTGGAACTTTACGCGCAGGATTTTCTCGAGGCGTACCAGCGGTTGGGTGCGGACGGCCCCTACATGCATCTGTTGCACCTTCCCGAGGCGGAGTTGGGTAATCGCAGGTGCCTGGGCATACACGTGGCAGCTGCGTACGCCTTCGCCGTGTTCGAGGACCAGGACTGGCTCCAGTACACGGGCGTCCCACAGAACGAGGCCGAGCAGGTGGTGCTGGCCAAGATCACGGCCATCAAGCGCATGGGCCTCGGTGCGCCTCCGAAGGGTGGCCCGTCTGCCGCCAGGTTCGGCGTCAGGTGATCACGCAGTTTTATATTTGGTGCACTTGAAGACTAACCAAAGCTTCTGGTTGTGTACTTGGCTGCACCTTGCGGTTGTCTGCAGCTTGTCTGCAAATACGCCATCGTCGCTGATGGCCGTAGCTAAACGCGCCCGTCGCGGCTGCGCGATCGTTATCAAGAGACAGTTTTGTCTCGCAGCAATTCAAAAGTGCATCACTTTTGGAATCCCATCAATCGTTTCGGTGGCTTACACAGCTCTGCATGGACTTTAAGCGAGCCGCTTGGGACGTATGAGAGCGCCTATGGTCGAAGTAAGGCAGGTAGGCAGTATAAAACTGCCAGTGGCGCCAGCTACGCGTCGAACTTCAGGATCATTCCGTGAAGACATGCGTCATGCTGCAGGTTCTTTTCTGAAGTGGCGTACGTCGCACCCACCATGACTAAAATCAACAGTGGCTGCGGTTGTGTGGCCTGCGCCGTGCCTGAAGTAAAAAGGTGGTCACTCCTTTCTAACTCTGCCGGTGCCATTACTGGCCGAGTGTGTAACCCATCTTAAGATCTTGCGCTTGCACTGTCAGCTCAGCTTGGTTGCTAAAACGGACATCTGGGCGAGCTGGTTGATTCTTACCCCCGTATTCACAAACGCTCCTCGACTCGACTTTCACCCTTCACTTGACAGAGTTGAGCACTGTGCCACCACTCGGCTGAAAATGACGCTGCCCCACTCAAGAGTCGCAGCAGACTATCGCTGATATGCAGTGACTTGCCGTGCCTAGAGATGGCGCTCCCATCGGGTTTCTCAAGTGAAAGCGATGCGTTGAGTGAAGGGAGGTTCTAGAATACAGGGGTTAAAGTTAGAGGCGACAAAAAAAAAAGAACAGAAGGCTGAACACGCAAGACGCGCACATACCGAGCGATATGGTCACTTATACCAGATTGAGCTGTACGGTTCCACAGTTAAATTATTACCTTAACAAAGCTCGACTCAAGGCGTCACCGCTGTGCATTTTTTTGCAACGAAATTGAAACAATTGAACGTTTCTTCTTATTCTTTCGTCGTTACTCTTATCGGAAAAAAAGATTTTTAGTAGCCCCATTACAAAAGTTAGGAATACAAGTAAATCTACCAGTACTCTCATCACTTGGCGCGTCAATTCATTTGGTTACTGCCACATGGATATATGCTCAACTGTGTTTGACCACATCAATGCAACTAAAAGATTACCGTGCTGGTGAACCCTAATCTTTTCAGATCTTTAGTTTAGAATTCGTAGCGATGTCTGTCAGGAACAAGAGATTGTTTGACCGCTTGCTCGGAAAACATTTTTGTTTATTGGCAGTCTTATCTCTAAACTTAATTATTCAGATCGGCTTTGATTTCATTCAAGTTTCACTTAAGTATCCTGCAACCCGGTTCTTGGCCCATCCCCCTCTGTGGGTGAGCGCCATCCATCTGAGCTCATCAGCATCACATCTGCGAGTCCTTTGTTGCGCGGGACTTCAACGTTGCCAGAAAATACGCGTTGAGAGAAAGCCCTCGTGCAGACGTTTCACCACCCGGTGTGACTTATATACGCTATTCGAATTCCGCGTACCGTTGAAATGCGTCGGCCGGGGCCAAGGTCGCACCGACGTCTATAGTGCCGGGTCATAAGTGGAGTGCATGCGTCACCCTTTTAGCCAGCTGAGTTTCAAGAAACAGGCAGAATATTAAGAAGTAAAGACGCGGAAGGCAAGGGCCGACGTATACGAGCACACGCATCTTGTACCACGCAGGCGCAGCCACGGCGAGACGAGGACGCGCTCGCTGGAACATCGGCGAGAGGACCGAGACGCGCAGGGTCCGTCGACGGCGACCACCACCCGCTTCAAGTGCTGCGAGGCGACGCCGTCACCCACAACACGAGGCCAGCAACAGGGACGCTTCCCCGGTCCACGTCTGCCCGCCCAACACGGCCCGTATAGTCCAGGGGCGTGGCCAGTCTGGCGGGTCACCTGCCGCAGCGCGACGTCTACTACAACACGAGGCCAGCAACAGGGACGCTTCCCCGGTCCACGTCTGCCCGCCCAACACGGCCCGTCTAGTCCAGGGGCGCGGCCAGTCTGGCGGGTCGCCTGCCGCAGCGTGACGTCTACTCCACCGCACCGATTCGCAGCCCCCCGGTTACGTATACAATGGCCGGCGAAGACAAAGATCGTGTCCAAGTTGAAGTGACGTTTGATCGGATACGTACCACGGCTTGTGGCGCGCCCCGCTTTGATAATACTGGTGGTTTACATTACCGTCCCGCCAACCGTGGACAGCAAGGAAGCCTCCGTGTCGTGGTGACAATTGCCGGGCGGCTTCATCGAGGAAAATAAATTTTTCGTTCTGATAAATTTTCTGTGTCGTTCGATGGCTAGCTGGCTCTCTCAGATCTTTGCGGGTAATGGGCGCGCGTAGGATACATTCACTAACGCCGTTAAGCATAGGGTTGCTTACGGAATATTGAACACAGATCTTGTCGTTACGAATATCTGTCAATAATAGTATAGTAATGATCTCGTCACGATATGATTGCGTGAGAGATGCTGTAGTAAAGGACTCCGGAAATTTCGGCACTTTAACGACCACTTCACGTGCACAGTATACAACAGAAACATTGTTTCCTACAAGTTATATATTTTTTTTTCGCACATACTGTAAGAACAACTGATGTTCGAAATATCAGGAGCCCTTCAGTACGGCGTCTCTCAATCATCAATCATATATTGTGGTTTTTGGAAGTAAAACCCCACATATTTGATATTTTCCGCATTGCCCCTCCCCTCCCCCTTTTTTTGTTACTTTTTGAGACGAAAGTGTCTTATGCCGTGTCCATCATGGCTTCACTGACACATTTCCATCAGGGTGTAGAGAAGAGAAAGTGCCGTGACCGGGAGTCGAACCTACGACCCCTACCACCCCAAGCGAAACGTTAGGGTAGCCAACCGAGCCAAGCTTGGTTAACCTCCCTGCCTTTCCTCTCTATTTATATCTCTCTGTCTTGTCCGGCTTAACGACGGCGAGCTATTTGTGTACGCCATTTACCGCTGGAAGTACTTGGAGATGGGTGACGCTAGCGTGTTCTGGTGTTACATGGATAGATGGCGCGCAGTGTCCTGAGGGTGCGCTTTAAGGGAACTGTCTACCGCTCGTGAAAAAAAATGTGATTGCGGCGAAAAGGAGAAGATCGTTCATCACATCGGCGGCAACAACCTCGAGCGAGCTTTTGATTCATACGAAATGAATTTAATGTCAATCTTATATTGAAAGTCGAGAAAGAATGACCCCTAGCGTCACCCAACTTCAAAGTGGTTCAGCCTACTGGCAGGACAAGAAATTCCCTGCAGGTAGACTCACTTCAATTAAAAACAAACACCTATAGCTTGAAATTGTATTTTACGCACTTGAAGCAGCTTTGCGTAGGTTGCATCGACGTTTTGCTTCTTCTATCCCGCCTTCGAAGAGGCCGCCCGGTGGCGCTGCCGGCGGTGTGTTCGCATGCCTGCATGCGTGCGTGGCTGCGAACGGCGTAGGAACGCGAGCTGCTCATAAGACCTACAACAAACAAAAGTCTCCATGCATTAAACGACCTCTAAAATATTTGTTTTATCATTAAAGAAAACAAGGAGCCCGCCGAAACCGTGCGTGGTTTCAGTTTTCGACTTTCAACGGCGCTACAATCGTCGTCGCCTCCACCGACCAGTGCTGTCGGAATTCATCTCACCGATGGAAGGAGATCATAGAGTTTCCCAAAATTAACTAGAGGGCACTCTGGCGCTGCGATCGTTCAGCGACCATGGGAATGATGGGTGTTTCAGAAGGACCAGAGAGACCGCAGAATCGATACGTCTTCGGTTTATTGTTGACAGAACAGGAAATAAAAAATATGCAGAGCGTGCCCCTCGCTACTTCTTCCTCGCCTCCGAGCTCCATCTTCAATCTGTTTTCTACATCTTCCCGCCGGCCAGATTCAACCGAAGCAACCTTCGAGCGAATACAACAGTTGAATCGGCCTCTTGACTAATTTTCCTTCAGATGTACGAAGCAAGCATGTTCTCACTAGTCCATCATTGCCTGGGAAAATCTTTTCGACCTTGCAGAGTTTCCACTGAGTTCTTTTTCACGCTTCTCCAAGCAGAAGTACATCTCCTTCTTGTACATTTGTGTGACGCTCTGTTTTTCTGCTGGCACACTTAAGCTCCCTCAGGTACTCCTTTTTCTATCTGGTCCACCATGTTATCATTTCCCGTTTTCTTGCACTCCAGTAACTCAGCAAACTGTATTCTCCGAGTCTGTTTTCTTCCTGCTTGTTCATTGCTTGCCTGCCTCCTATAACGTCCGCCAGTGTGATGGGTTGTGGCTCGTTAGGATCGTCATACACATAAGTAAGAGGCCGGTTGTTAAGTACTCCTTCTGCTTCAACAACCACAGTCCGTTGTTCTTCATCCAAAAGTTTTCTTAGTTCGGCGTCATTTGAAATCCATTTTCTTAAATTCATTCCCGCATTACAAAAAATGTCTCGTGCTTCTTTGTATATCTTTGTCGATGTCGAGTATTCGTCGGCTCCTAGTAAAACGTCATCGACGTAGATTCCTTTCCGGAGTTGCGCCACAACTGCAGGATATTTTTCTTCGAATTTATCCAAATGTCGATGAATCGTGGCCGCTAGAAGGAAGCTACTTGGTGTAGTTCCGAAAGTAACCCTCGTCATCCTCCACGTTTTTATCTTCGGGGTTGGCATATATTCGCTTGGTATTCTTTCCCACCACATAAATCGCAGTGCGCTTCGGTCATTTTCATGTATCTTAATCTGCAAGAATGCTTTTTCCACGTCGGCTGACATAGCGATCTTTTGATGTCGAGAGTTCGTCAGCAAGCTTGTGATGTAATGGTTTAGGTTTGGCCCCTTTTCCAAGTTGTCATTCAAGGATTCACCTGGATTCTATCTTGACGATGCGTCAAAGACGATCCGTATTTTTGTCGTTGTTCGGTCC